TAATTACCTACTTTAATGTCATCCTAGGCAATGATACCCATGAACTCATGGTCCTATATGCTAGTTATGTTTTCCTGCAATATATTAAAGACATACTTAACTATTAATTTAAAATGTAATTCACTTACCATCTAAATTCATCTCATACCACCAATAGAACATGTATTGCCCTTTGTGAAATACTAGGTTGTTGAATTTAACTTAAAAATTTATATAAATTAATTTTCATTAAAGGAATAACCAACTTAAGAAGCAATAATATAAAGTTTTACATAGCAAATGAGATATGGAAAGTGTTAGACCTTAAATTTAGCAAATACTTAGAAATTTTTTGGCTGGCTTTTTATCAATTGGAAATGACTGAAGATCAGGAAATGTAGAAAACTCCCAGAGCCAAAATATCTCCCTTCCTACTCTACATTCAACATGATCACAACCATGTAATTTCAGAGAAAAAGACCTACACATAAAGAGAAAGTGAAAAGGAAATATAACAGTGTTGAGTGGCTGTTTTAGGAATTATGGGTCATTGAATTCTTTCAATTTTTCATTACGTTAATTTCTCTACTTACCAAAATTTATTTAATGAGCATTTCTTTTTTAATGAAACAATACAGTAAAACTTTTCATTCCTTTGGATACCTTAATATGAAAAGGTATCCAAATATATCTACTATTTTAGAAGAATTTCTAATTTTATGTCATGATTCAAAAATAAAAATTAAAGTGAATATACCAAGTTCTTCTTGCTTAAAGTATTGACATTTACCTGCAACCTTTTGTGGCCAACTATGTTACTACATACTCTAAGTTCTCAAAACACTAGAAATAGGAGTTTTGCCCATGATTGTGTGAAAAATATAATCCAAAAAAATAATTAATGTCCCTCAATGGCCAGAATAGAACACAAAACCAATAGGTTCTAAAATATGCACCTAAAATCTTCTTGTAATTATAGCTTGACTACTTTTAAAACTCTATAGGTTAATTGATATAATACATGGGATTTGCTTTTAATTTAGCAGGAATAAGGATGAGTCAGAGGGTGGTGGGTAGATGGAAGGAACAGTTGAAACTAGAATAGCAGAATGCTGGTAGTTGCTGAAGCTAGGTGATGTGTAAGTGGGTATTCTTTATTTTATTATTTTATTTTCTGCATATTTGAAAAATTCTATGTTAAAAACAAATTTTTTAAAAACCTAAACACCTAATGCAACCTCTGTAATATGACCAAAACCGAAGAAAATTAACAAAAAAAATTTGCTGCAAAGTAAAGCTCCAAGTGGTCTATAAAATATTTTTGCAATTTTATTTTTATAGTCAATGAAAAAAATAAGTATTTACCAATAAGTACAGAACTATCTAAAAGTTGTATGAAAGGCTATTATCGCCACCTACTGGACACTGTCTGTGACTGACTAGTTACTATAAAAAATTAAGATGAAAAAAAGCACAACTACTGAGTAGGTCTCCCACCCAACCCCAAGCATCTGATTCTTAACAAGATATCATTACATAATACCAACAAATTTGTTTCATTTGTGTCTTTATATCAGTAATGCTAATTAATGTTACATTACACCACTTCTAACTTAGCATGAAATGCCACCTGCTAAAAGTTATATCATAAAATTTCAGTTAGAAAGTACATTGGTGATGTCTTATGATATCCTTGTTTTACAGAAGATTCCAGAACTTTATTTGCCCATAGGATTAGAACCCAGAACTTAAATTATTTAAACATATGGACAGGCCAAAAAGTTAGAAAACAGTCCTGATTCTTAATTTCAGTACATTATCTTTTTTATCTCAGCCTTTTAAA